AACTACCCTCTGTAGCGACTTACGGTCGGGTGCTGAGCAGTTGTCATATCAAGCGGGAATGCTCCAGTCAAGATGCTCTCAATGATGCAGCTGTATAACTTTTTGAGGATCTGAGAGCCCATGCCAAATCTTTTCAGCCTCCTGAGGGGGAAGAGGCGTTGTCGTACCCTCTTCACGACTGTGTTGGTGTGTTTGGACCATGATAGATCCTTAGCGTTGTGGACACTGAGGAACTTGAAGCTCTCGACCCGCTCCACTATAGCTTCGTCGATGTGAATTTGGCCCTCCGTTTCCTGTAGTTCACGATAAGCTCATTTGTCTTGCCCACATTTAGGGAGAGGTTGTTGTCCTGGCACCATACTGCCAGGTCTCTGACCTCCTCCCTGTAGGCTGTCTCATCGTCATTGGTGATCAGTCCTACCACTGTTGTTGAGGTGCAGTCGCGGGTGAACAGGGAGTACAGGAGGGGACTAAGCACGCACCCCTGAGGGGCCCCCGTGTTGAGGGTCAGCGTATCGTTGTTTACCCTCACCACCGGGAGTGGCCCGTCAGAAAGTCCAGGATCCAGTTTCAGAGGGAGGTGTTCAGTCCCAGGGACCTTAGCTTAGTGATGAGCTTGGAGGGCACTATGGTGTTGAATGCTGAGCTGTAGTCTATGAACAGCATTTTCACGTAGGTGTTTCTTTGTCCAGGTGGGAAAGGGCAGTGTGGAGTGCAATAGAGATTACGTCATCTGTGGATCTGTTTGGGCGGTATGCAAATTGGAGTGGGTCCAGGGTTTCTGGGATGATGGTGTTGATGTGAGCCATGACCAACCTTTCAAAGCATTTAGTCATTTAGGCAGGTTACCTTGGCATTCTTGGGCACTATGGTGGTCTGCTTGAACGTATGTATTACAGACTGGGTCAGGGAAAGGTTGAAAATGTCAGTGAAGAAATTTGCCAGCTGGTCAGCGCATGCTCTGAGTATGCGTCCTGATAATCCGTCTGGCCCTGCGGCTTTGTGAATGTTAACCTGTTTAAAGGTCTTACTCACATCGGCTACGGAGAGCTGGATGACTGTGTGAGCTGGTGCTCACACGCATGGTTCAGTGTTGCTTGCCTCGAAGCGAGCATTGAAAGCGTTTAGCCAGTTTGGTAGGCTTTTTATGTGTCTCTGTGTGTGGAGTAAAGGTGATCTAGAGTTTTTTCCCCTCTAGTTGCACAGGTGAAATGCTGGTAGAAATGAGGTAAAAGGGATTTCAGTTTTCCTGCATTAAAATCACTGGCCACTAGGAGTGCCGCATCTAGATGAGCTCCTCCATTTTAAAACAAAGGGACAGCATGTTTAGTTGGCATACCTGAAACAACTGTACGGAGAGTTTATTTGATTTATTTACTTTACCATAATAAAATGTATTGATACATTTTGTTGTATTATTGACCCAGTGACTTTTTAATTTAGCCTGATTCAATAAATGATTGTGTAATTGAGATTTAATGAGCATGAAAAATGTTATTGCCCAAGTCTTATGGAAAATATTGTGTAGCATCATGTTATGGGTATGCTTGTCACTGGCAGGGACTGGGGAGTTTGTCAGGATCAAAATAACCATGAAAGGAGCAATGATCAGGTAAAAAGGATGTGGATGTGTCGCAGCCGGCCATGACTGGGAGACCCATGAGGCGGCACACAATTGGCAAAGCGTCATACGGGTTAGGGGAGGGTTTGGCCGGCCGGGTTGTCCTTGTCCCATCACGCTCTAGCGACTCCTGTGGCGGCCCAGGCACATGCACGCTGACACGTTCGCCAGTTGTATGGCGTTTCCTCCGACACATTGGTGCGGCTGGCTTCTGGGTTAAGCAAGCAGTGTGTCAAGAAGCAGTGTGGCTTGACAGGGTCGTGTTTTGGAGGACGCATGACTCTCTACCTTCGCCTCTCCCGAGTCCGTACGGGAGTTGCAGCGATGGGACAAGACTGTAACTACCAATTGGATATCATGAAATTGGGGAGACAAATGAGTAAAAAAAAAAAAAACCTGCCTCAGTTTTCTCAAAACCTAACCCTGGGATAGAGTAAAAAACTAAATGTTAATGCCAAAGACACACCAGAATGGCTTTCCAAGAGGTGTTGAGTGTTCCTGAATTGTCCAGTCTCAGTCCTGACTTACATCTGCTTGAAAATCAGAGAAGGTTTGAATGTTGCTGTCCATCAATGATTCCCAACTAAATTTACTGAGCTTGAGCAATTTTGACAAAAACAATGGATAAATGTTGCCCTAAAGGTTTTGCAAAGTTGGTAGAATCTTATACAAAATTATTCTGCGCTTTAATGGCTGCCAAATGTGTATTAACTTCCACCAAGTATTAACTCCGGGGTGTGAATACATACGCAATCAAGACATCTTCGTTTACATTTCTATTTTTAAAATGAATTTGGACAGATTTCCATAATTTTAGGTAGGTTGTGTAGATCGATAGGGGAAAAAATTTAATTTATTCCCTTGTTAAATTTAATTTTAAGGCAGGAAAATGTGAAGACTGTGCAAGGGTTGTGTAGACTCACTAGCGACTGTATTTTGCCTTTTCCCAGAGATGACTTCAAGTGATGCAGAGCATGAATGGCGTACAGCGCTCACTGGCATTTTAGATGAGCTGGCAAAGGAAGAGTACAAAATTATGGTTCACCTTTTGAAAGAAATTACACATGGCAAAAAGACTAAAACCGTGAGAGTAGACATGCCTAGAACTATCATTAACCACTTGGGAATGGATACGTCTATTAATGTGATTAGTGATTAAGAGAGTGATGGGGGAGATACAAAGGAATGATTCTGCTGTTCAGGGCCTCCTGCGTCCCTTTGTTCAGAACTGCAAAAAAGAACAGCCTAAGAACCCAACAATTGAATCATCTGAAAATAAGCCACCTGCAGCAAATGGACAGAATAGAAAATATGTGGGCAAATCAGAGGATGAGGTGTCTGCACCAGGTCCAGGGAGGAAAGGGAGAGGGAAAAGCAACAAGGGTAATCCTCCTCTTCCATCTCAGCATGCATCAAACGCCTTGATTATGCCCATCGCACATCTGAAAAGCTGTGGGCAACTTGGCAATAAAGCAAGGGAAGGTAGTCAAAATAGGATGAGACAAAACAAGTTCCATTAAGGTCTGTCTCTGGAGGGAGCAGGCGCGCCGCTGCAGAGCATCGGTTGGAGAAAAAGTCAAGGTGACCAATGTACGCTCCAACAAGTACTACGACAGTATTTTTCTCAACTCAAATGGAATAACCAGGGTTCTTAGCATCCAGGCTGCTACATTGGAAACTGTGAATCAATCCAAAAGTACACAAAGATGAAGGTGACCCTGGTGGCAGAGCCAGAGTTGGAAGGAGGTAGGCCTCCTGTAGCTCAGTTGGTGGAGCATGGCGCTTGCAACGGCAGGGTTGTGGGTTCGAATCCAATGGGGGGCCAGTATGAAAAATGTATGCACTCACTAACAGTAAGTCGCTCTGGATAAGAGCGTCTGCTAAATGACTAAAATGTAAATGTATGAAAATTGTGGCATCGAAAATCCTTGGACAGACCTATGATATCAAACCTGACTGCGACTTTAAGGTGTGTCCATGCGATGTTACCTCTCGTTGCAGAGGGAATGTAATAAAAAAGTTGAATCTGAATGATAAGGTTTTGTGGCTTTTCAATCAATGCCTTGAAAAGTCACACAAAGAGAATCCTAAAATGTACTCCCTTTTGGCCTGAACTTCTCCAATATGTAATAATGATGCATAAAATGTGTAACAAATAACCCTTTAGGAATGTGGGAAAGGGCTACTAAATATCTATAATGTGATATAATGTGGTGCGCTAAAGTGGTATACCACATAACAAGATGGCATGAAGCCTTAATCTGCTCAAGAAAATACTTTCTATCTGGTTTCTAATATGTGACTGTGCGTGGTAAACAGTTGTATTTCACCAGTGGTAATGCTGTAATTGACAATGGATAATGGAGTAAAGAGTTTATATCACTGTAAGAGTCAAGGCATGTAATTACACAGCTCATAACATTTTAACCTGTTTTTTATTGTTTACAAAACACTTTTGTTGTGGCGTGCTTTCATAGAAGTTGATTATTATTATTTAGCAAGTTATCAGACACTGCTAAATGACTGATGTTAATTTAACATGTATTACTTCATATCAATGAGAACTGATAATTTGTAACTGAATTCACGTTTACTGTAATTTTCGTCCTTTTTCTTTACTCCAAGCAGTTTATCCTTTCTACCTTAGTTTTTGCTTTCAGGGAGGAAGGCTTTGCCTTTTTTCAAGTATTCTAATGTCTTCCAAAATAAATTAAATAAAGTGGTTTCCCCTACAATTAACACAGAACAACAATTACTTAATATGGAAAGTATTCAGACAAAACACAACTCATTTTTGTTATACAAACAACAGTACAGTATTTTATTATTTTATACAAACCTTATGTTGCAATGCCAGTCATTTCTATAGTTCAAAAAATTCATTTAGCAGAGGAGTTCTATTATTCCATAGTATTCTAATATTTGTTTCCTGGATATAGACAGTACACATATCCACTTACAAAATCTATTCCTCTACAATCTTCTAAAATATGTATTTTTGAGCTTCTGGAACATGGTCAACAACACTCATGATCATTGAAGAAATATTATAATTTTGTTTGTAGTGTTGTTTGTTTTGATGTTTAATTTCGTACCTATAGCTTTATTACAACTATCTATAGAAGTTGAAATCTTGACATTTTCTGTTAAAAAAACATAGGATGGCCTATAAACTATGAAGACTGACTTATATGTCAAGTTGCCTATTGAAAAGAATGTAACGTTTTTTTAAAAACCCTTAAAACAAAAAGAAAACACATAACAAGATTGTTTTCATGAAAAGACATGAACATGAGTATAGACAGAGATTGTTGGGTTGTTGTTTTGAGAAGGAAAAGCGCTCAGTGGCAGACAGATGCCGCATCCCAAATGGCACCCTATTCCTTATATAGTGCAATACTTTTGACCAGGGCCCTCTGGTTAAAAGTAGTGCACTATATAAGGAATATGGTGCCATTTGGGACGTAGTCAGAGACACTGGCTGAGTGTTTGGCGAAGGAGGGAGACAATTGTGCTGCTGAAGTAAGCCAGAAGTCACACCTGCTGTGTCTCAGTCAATCCTCAAGCTTCCCTCTTTAGTTGTCACTCTGTCCTCTTCCCTAGAAAAAAAGAAGAAGAAAAAGACAGGGGTTTGGATTCAATTGGGCTATTTCAGTCAAAGGGCGAATTGCATTGTGATATGGTGGCTATGAAATTCCTTTCAGCATATGAAGTGCTTTATTTTCTGCAGTATTGGGTTTGTGTTTTCATGTTGTTTTGGAGAACCTGCTTTTCCAGTTTAGTGACAAATACATACCTGCTAAGAAGTATGCCATCTGTATTCAACATCCCCTTAACAAACAGAGTTTCAACCAGTTTTGCCCACTGGGTTTGTCCTATGGTGGTCTATTAAATTAAATCCGACCCACCTTTTCCTCCCTTCCCCTTGGGCTTGGAGGAGCAGGGCTTGGTCACCTCGATGGTGGCCTTGCAGTCTAACTTGAACATGTCTTTCTTCAGGGTTCCTGACCGGCTCTTGGTGCCGGTGGTCGTGTCACACTCGCCCCAGTTGGTGAACCTGTACTTGCAGTCAGCTAGAAATACATAGCATCTATTTTATCAGAAAAATATCCATAAAAATCAAAAAGTATCAGTTAATCTAATTCCGTTATGATTAGGGACCAGAGTTTTTCCTGACCACGATGAGACCTGACCAGTGACCACGAAAAACTATAGGCCCTAGTTACTTAATGATGATGGTACAGAATGCAGATACATGTAGTATATTCACATATACTGTATGTGAATATATGTATGTACTGTATGTGTGTGTCAGGACCACATCCATTTCCAACATTTGCCCTCTTACCACCAAAGGCCTTCTTCCAGTTGCAAGGGATATTGCACTTGTGTTTGGTGGTGTGCTCGCCGCAAGTGGCCTCACGGAACCCATCTCCACAGTCACCAGCGTTGGGCACACATTTGCCAAAGTGCTTCTCAGCACACTCTGCTTTGCCCCCCTCTTTGGCTTTCTGACCTGTGGCACCAAAAATAAAAGAAAGAAATCATTGTATTGGTTTTGCCTGACATTTGCTGAAACACAACATAACAAAAACATGAGCTCCTTCAAAGGGATATTTATCTTTTTTAATCTGACGTTTTGTACACAATGTAGTTTGATCACATTTCTCACTTTTTTTGTCACCATGTTTGTGTGCTGCTTCTGCTGTGACCATCAAGACCACAAGCAGCACAAGTGTCATTGAGAGCACACCTCGCATTCTGTGGAGAGAAAATGTAATATCATTATCAACATACTATTGGAAAGTATATTAGCCACTGGGCTGAAAGAGATTATCAAAACACATTATGGTTCCATCTATGTCCTATATATGTTTATGCTTTTGGGAGTTTTATTTGCGCAGAGGCTTCGGACCTTTAGCTGTTGGGAAGAGAACTCGGATGCACAGCCACTCCGTTTATTTTACATGGCCACCCCATTTTAACAGCATTTTTGTGAGCCATCGTCATAATGTACTGGCTTACATTGTACAATATTGGATGTGCTTAAGTTACATCTTAAATCTGTCACACATCTGCAATGTAGCCGTTGGCGTTGATCCTACTATGATTACATAATGTTACAGCAACATTAATTAATCTCTTCAAGCCAGAGTATGAACTTTTTTTCTAATAGACAGAGACACCTAGGCTGTAGCTTGTGATTGGATGGTTGGGATGGTTAGTAACTTGTGAGTGATCATGGTTGAGTTCCTGCCCGACTAGATGCGCAGGCGTTGCATTGCCTCAACCAATGGTTGCGTGCCACCTCATCGACTGTTCAGTTGGGCATCAGACTACTAATGCCGCGTTCACGTGCTAGTCAGAACTAGGAAACTTGCTAACTGGTTGAACGCTGCACGTGTATAACTACAACCAGTTAGCAAGTCTGACATTTCCAAGTTTCCTAGTTCTGACGAGTACATGAACGCGGCATATATCCTATGATTTGGTTAGCTGATCGTTAAACACCTATCCAATCATTTTGAGATCTGGCAGGCGTCTGCAATGTAGTCGGGCAGAAACTCAACCCAAGCAGGTCCAACCAGGTATTCCTGTCCTACTAACTAGACTGTCCTTCCTTCCAAGGACAACACTTCTGTTTCTGGGTTCCTTCCCAGCATCAGATCATGAAATCAAGAGCAATGCCCAGTGACACATTCCACACCTTTCCGGAAAGTTGTCTGCAGTCCTTTCTATTGTTCCAAAACACCAGCAAGTCATGATAGGCTGCATACCTTGTGTTACTTAGCTCACTAAACTTCTGAAAAAGTGCATTGGCCAGGCTTTGTGGAATTCAGGTCCAGCTACATCGATTCGCCCAAGATCAATACTTTAAAAAATGTAAATTATGAAATGCTAACTGTGTACCTATGTTTGCCCATCAAATACAACCACCAACAGTTTTCTCATTGCTGTTGCTCTAAGATGGCAACTCAGCGCAAATGCGCATGTGCCAATTGAATCTCAACAAGTAAACAGTCGGTGGTTGTATTTGATTAACGTTTATTGACACCAAACAAAGAAAGACACATAAACTACAGAGGTCAAACATAGGTACAAGGTCAGCGTTTAATAATTAATATTTTTTAAAGTATTGACCTTGGGTGAATCAATTTAGTCGGACCTGAATTCCAAAAAGCCTGGTCTCTGCTCCACTCCGTTGCTGGAGTTCATCAGAAACTTCCTTCACCATGGAGTGGAGTTTAGTCAGCTACAGTGCCTTCAGAAAGTATTCAGACTTACTCCACATTTTGTTGTGTTACAGCCTGAATTCAAAATTGATTAAATATATATATTTATATTATTATATATATATATATTATATATATACCCATCTACACGCAATACCCCATAATGACAAAGTGAAAACATGTTTTTAGAAATGTTTGCAAATGTATTGAAAACAGAACTATCTCATTTAAGGATTCACACCTCTGAGTCTATACATGTTAGAATCACCTTTGGCAGCGATTACAGCTGTGAGTCTCCTGGGTAAGTCTCTAAGAGCTTTGCACACCTGGACTGTACAATATTTGCACATTATTATTTTTAAAATTCTTCAAGTTCTGTCAAGTTGGTTGTTGATCATTGCTAGACAGCCATTTTTAAGTCTTGCCATAGATTTTCAAGCCGATTTAAGTCAAAACTGTAGCTAGGGCACTCGAACATTCATTGTCGTCTTGGTAAGCAACTCCAGTGTATAGATTATTGTCCTGCTGAAAGGTGAATGTGTCTCCCAGTGTCTGTTGGAAAGCAGACTGAACCAAGTTTTCCTCTAGGATTTTGCCTGTGCTTAGCTCTATTCCGTTAATTTTTATCCTAAAAAAAACTCCCTAGTCCTTGCAGATGACAATCATACCCATAACATGATGCAGCCACCACCATGCTTGAAAATATGAAGTGGTACTCAGTGATGTGTTGTGTTGGATTTGCCCCAAACATAACGCTTTGTATTCAGGACATAAAGTTAATTTCTTTGCAAATTTCTTTTGCAGTTTTACTTTAGTGCCTTATTGCAAACAGGATGCATGTTTTGGAATATTTGTTATTCTTTACAGGCTTCCTTCTCTTCACTGTCATTTAGGTTAGTATTGTGAAGTAACTACAATGTTGTTGATCCATCCTCAGTTTTCTCCTATTACAGCCATTAAATTCTTTAACTGTTTTAAAGTCACCATTGGCCTCATGGTGAAATCCCTGAGCGGTTTCCTTCCTCTCCGACAACTGAGTTAGGAATCTTTGTCTATCTTTGTAGTGACTGGGTGTCTTGCGACGCCATCCGAAGTGTAATAACTAACTTCACCATGCTCAAAGGGATAATCAATGTCAATTTTTTAACCTATCTACCAATAGGTGCCCTTCTTTGCAAGCCATTGGAACACCTACCTGGTCTTTGTGGATGAATCTGTGTTTAAAATTCACTGATCGACTGAGGGACCTTACGTGTGGGGTACAGAGATGAGGTAGTCATTCAAATAAAATAAAATAAAATTGTATTGGTCACATACACGTGTTTAGCAGATGTTATTGCGGGTGTAGCAAAATGCTTGTGCTTCTAGCTCCGACAGTGCAGTAACATCTAACAAGTAATATCTAACAATTTCACAACATATACCCAATACACACAAATCTAAGTAAGGAATGAATTAAGAATATATACACTACCGTTCAAAATTTTGATGTCACTTAGAAATGTCCTTGTTTTCGAAAGAAAAGCAATTTGTTTGTCCATTAAAATAACATCAAATTGATCAGAAATACAGTGTTAACATTGTTAATGTTGTAAATGGCTATTGTAGCTGGAAACGGCTGATTTTTTATGGAATATCTACATAGGTGTACAGAGGCCCAATATCAGCAACCATCAGTCCTGTGTTCCAATTGCACGTTGTGTTTGCTAATCCAAGTTTATCATTTTAAAAGGCTAATTGATCATTAGAAAACCCTTTTGCAATTATATTAGCACAGCTGAAAAATTTTGTGCTCATTAAAAAAGCAATAAAACTGGCCTTATTGAGACTAGTTGAGTATCTGGAGCATCAGCAATTGTGGGTTCGATTACAGGCTCAAAATGGCCAGAAACAAATAACTTTCTTCTGAAATTCGTCAGTCTATTCTTGTTCTGAGAAATGAAGGCTATTCCATGCGAGAAATTGCCAAGAAACTGAAGATCTCGTACAACGCTGTGTACTACTCCCTTCACAGAACAGCGCAAACTGACTCTAACCAGAATAGAAAGAGGAGTGGGAGGCCCCAGTGCACAACTGAGCAAGAGGACAAATACATTAGTGTCTAGTTTGAGAAACAGGCGCTTCACAGGTCCTCAACTGGCAGCTTCAGTAATAGTACCCGCAAAACACCAGTCTCAACGTCAACAGTGAAGAGGCGACTCCGGGATGCTGACCTTCTAGGCAGAGTTGCAATGAAAAAGCCATATCTCAGACTGCCCATCTTAATCTTTTATTTTTATTGGCCAGTCTGAGATATGGCTTTTTCTTTGCAACTCTGCCTAGAAGGTCAGCATCCCGGAGTCGCCTCTTCACTGTTGACGTTGAGACTGGTGTTTTAATAGTCACAGTGGGTACGACATCTCCTATACACTTCCTTATATACCTTAGTTACGGTATCGGTGTATTCGTCAAAATTATTTTCGCAAGCTACCCGGAACAAATCCCAGTCCGTGTGATCAAAACAATCTTGAAGCGTGGATTCCGATTGGTCAGACCAGCGTTGAATAGTCCTTAGCACGGGTACTTCCTGTTTGAATTTCTGCCTATAGGAAGGGAGAAGCAAAATGGAGTCGTGGTCAGATTTGCCGAAAGGAGGGCGGGGAAGGGCCTTGTAAGCATTGTGGAAGTTTGAATAACAGTGGTCCAGAGTTTTAGCAGCGTGAGTACTACAGCCGATATGTTGATAGATCTTCGGCAGCCTAGTCCTCAAATTTGCTTTGTTAAAATCCCCAGCTACAATAAATGCATCCTCAGGATATGTGGTTTCCTGTTTGCATAAAGTCCAGTGAAGTTCTTTGAGGGCCGTCGTGGTATCGGCTTGAAGGGGGATATAAACGGCCGTGGCTATAACGGAGGAAAATTATCTTGGGAGATAATACGGTCGGCATTTGATTGTGAGGTATTCTAGGTCGGGTGAACAAAAGGACTTGAGTTCCTCTATGCTACTACAATTACACCATAAGTTGTTAATCATGAAACACACACCTCCGCCCTTCTGCTTCCCGGAGAGATATTTATTCCTATCTGCGCGATGAACTGAGAATCCTTCTGGCTGGACCGATACCGACAGAGTATCCTGAGAGAGCCATGTTTCCGTGAAACAAAGTATGTTGCAGGCCCTGATGTCTTTCTGGAAAGAAATCCTTGCCCTGAACTCATCAACTTTGTTATCCAAAGACTGAACATTAGTGAGTAATATACTTGGAAGCGGTGGGTGGTGTACGCGCCTCCTAAGTAGAAACAGCAGGCCGCCTGGAGTACCTCTCCTCCGCCGGCGATGTTTTGGGTCGGCCTCTGGAATCAGTTAAATTGCTCTGGGGAGAGCGAACAAAGGATCTGCTTCGGAGAAGTCGTATTCCTGGTCGTAATGCTGGTAGTTCTGATGAGTTACCGCCGCTCTGATATCCAATAGTTATTCCCGGCTGTATGTAATGACACAAAATATTTCCTGAGCAAATAAAGTAAAAAATAATACCGCAAAGTTTCCTAAGAGCTAGTCGCGAGGCCGCCATCTCTGTCGGCACCATCTTAAACTCATGTTAAACACTATTATTGTACACAGAGTGAGTCCATGCAACTTATGTGACTTGTTAAGCAAATGTATACTCCTGAATTTATTTAGGCTTGCCATAAAGGGATGAAATACTAATTGACTCAAAACATTTCAGCTTTTCAATTTTAATTATTGTTATTTTTTTTTATATACAATAAACAAAAATATAAATGCAACATGGAAAGTGTTGATCCCATGTTTCATGAGCTGAAATAAAAGATCCCCGAAATGTTCCATACGCACAAAAAGCGTATTTCTCTCAAATGTTTTGCACTAATTTGTTTACGTCCCTGTTAGTGAGCATTTCGCCTTTGCCAAGATAATCTATTCACCTGACAGGTGTTGCATATCAAGAAGCTGATTAAACAGCATGATCATTACACAGGTACACCTTGTGCTGAGGACAATAAAAGGCCACTCTAAAATGTGCAGTTTTGTCACACAACACAATGCCACAGATGTTTCAAGTGTTGAAGGAGCGTGCAATTGGCATGCTGACTGCAGGAATGTCCACCAGAGCTGTTGCCAGATAATTTAATTATAATAATTTAATATTAATTTATTTACCATAAGCCGCCTCCAACATCATTTTAGAAAAATTGGCAGTACGTCCAACCGGCATCACAACCGCAGACCACGTGTAACCAAGCCAGCCCAGGACCTCAACATCTGGCTTCTTCACCTGAGGGATCGTCTGTACCTGGCAGATGGCAGACAGAGTCTATGGCGTTCGTGTGGGCGAGCGGTTTGCTGATGTCAACGACGTTGTGAACAGAGTGCCCCATGGTGACGGTGATGTTATGGTATGGGCAGGCATAAGCCACAGACAATGAACACAATTGCATTTTATCGATGGCAATTTGAATGCACAGAGATACTGTGACGAAATCCTGAGGCCCATTCTCGTGCCGTTCATCCGCCACCATCACCTCATGTTTCAGCATGATAATGCACAGCCCCATGTTGCAAGGATCTGTACACAAATCCTGGAAGCTGAAAATGTCCCAGTTTTTCCAAGGCCTGCATATTCACCAGACATGTCACCCATTGAGCATGTTTGGGATGCTCTGGATCGACGTGTACGACAGCGTGTTCCATTTCCCGCCAATATCCAGCAACTTCGCATAGCCATTGAAGAGGAGTGGGACAACATTCCACAGGCCACAATCAACAGCCTGATCAACTATTCGAAGGAGATGTGTCACGCTGCATGAGGCAAATGGTGGTCACACAAGATACTGACTGGTTTTCTGGTCCACACCCCTACCTTTTTTTTCAAGGGATCTGTGACCTACAGATGCATATCTGTATTCCCAGTCATGTGAAATCCATAGATCGGGGCCTAATGAATTTATTTCAATTGACTGACTTCCTTATATGAACTGTAACTCAGTAAAATCTTTGAAATTGTTGCATGTTTATATTTTTGTTCAGTGTAATTCCACTTTGACGTTACATTTACATTATGGGGTATTGTGTGTAGGCCAGTGACACAAAATCTCAATTTACTATATTCTAAATTCAGGCTGTAACACAACAAAAATGTGGAAAAAGTCAAGGGTGTGAATAATTTCTGAAGGCACTGTATGTGTTGTTCTGAGTTACTGCACCTCAATGCGGTACACTGTACTTATTATAACATACTTTGTTCTGTTCTCAGTCAGTTTATAGACAACTTTACTTAGAAGATACTATGCAGTTAACTAACTTCATCTTAGTTGGTGGATCATTTTAGCCTATGAACATAGCCTACTAATATCTGTATCTTTGTTTCCATGATTACATGGAAAACCACGCTACTACAGCTATACACCACATACAGATACTTTCCTGTTGACAGTTTTGCATGATGAAAGTAGGCTAATGGATTCTTACATTGCTCTTATCCGATCATAATATTTTGTCTGGTTAACCTTTGTCTCACTGAATCAACTAATGCCTTCAAGCCTTCTGCCATTACTTGATGAGCGCTCAATCAACAAGCACGGCAGTGTATCCCCTTAATATGTGGGACACAGGCATCCCCCTTTGAATACATTAAATGTGTCAATAACCCATACATCTCTCCCTGTCTCTCTCCTCCCCCTCCCTCCATTACTGGGCTGGGAAATTACAGTCTTCTTTGAGAGTTCAGTTTCAAGAGAAAGGCCTCCATTAAATGAGTCCGTTCTTTCACACGTCAGCCGGCCGAGCAAATCCCGTTCGTCTCCCGGCCCTAAATGTGGAGGGCTTCTCCGGGCTTTTGTGTGAACAGAACAGGCTCTCAGCAGGCTCCCTCTCCCTCTCTCTCGCTGTGCTCCAGCCATGCAGAGAGAGAGGCCAAGCGCTTGCTGAAAAGCCTTTAGAGTCCGCTCAAAGGAATACTGATTCATTGGGCCAAAACAAAAGGCCTTCTTGCCTGTTTTCATTTCTCTCAAAAGCCCTAACACAGATCCCATGCCACATCTTAGGAGCAAGGCCTCTCCACTGTCCAGCTGAATGTAAACCTATTTGCATAAGAAGACAATCAAGTCTTAAGATGAAGAAAAGAAGCGTGATGCTCCCTTTGGCAGATGCGAGGGCAGTACATTTTGAGAACTTCCTCATGAACCGGAGAGTTCACTCTCCCAAAAGGCAAACTTCATGAAAATCATTTAAAGATGATCTTGAACGCAGATCTGTTGTGGATCTCTAGAACAAAATGATCATATCAACCAAACACTGTGTAAACAATGTGAATCAAGTTTTTACTAAGACATGACCTTGTTATAACCATGGAACCAATATGCGTAGACATATTGAACAAATAGACAACATGAGCTGATGATTCTCCCTCTTTCACAACTATTCACAATTACTTCACAACAACTGTCTCACAACTACGTACAAGACAAACAAAGCCTTACCTAAAAGTTTGGGAAAATACAATCTTTAAAAATGGTTGTGTCACGGGAGGGAGCCACAAAAGAGTGATAGGGGTGCATTCCATTCCTCCAATCACTCTTCCTCAGTTCAACCATGACATAGTTATATAGTTGGATTACCTAACCATGCGATGCCCTATATCCTAAAACTAGACAAAAGTGTGTGGAAAATCTCTGGCAGGATTGACATCCTGCAAGTGCATGAAGAGTGTTGCTTTAATTGGGAGTAAAATAAACCCCCAAGGCAAACAATGAGCTAGCCATGGTAACTTCCTACAGGGTCAGATGAATCCCAACATTTTGATGGTTTTGAAAGGAGAACAAACACATTTAGAAACCACACTGTCGGATGATTGTCCCATAATTATTAGAAGCCACTTTTTCTATCATCAAAACTCAATTAATTGGATCACTTCCACTATCAAAAGCTTAATCTATTTTCCCCATATTTGAATTGAACAATTATATCTCATTGAACAATTACATCTGATTCTATGGTTTAGGTGGTAATACCTGTAAGCATAAACAAGTAACACCATAGGATACCCTTTCTAACACCCGATAGAGTTGGGCTACATCATAACACAAGGATGCTCCTGTAGGAATGTGAAAACCAAGTTTAAAAAATGTCCCTCCCATTGTAAGAAGTCTTAAAGCGGTATATACATTTTTTTTGAGAATATAGAGTAAAAAACCCAGTCTGTACCGATATGCTATTTGATAGTTCGTAAAACAAATTTGAGATTTGGTTTGTGTATAATGTGTAATACCCAGCCTACCAAGGCATGCACTTGTTCTGAACATCGACAGCAAATCAGTGAACAAAGAAAAAATGTAAATTACATATGGATATGCTATATTATTCTTAATAATTAATGCCTTAAACTGACAAAAAAATGCGGCATAAGAAAACAGTGCGTCAACTTACTTCATTCTCACAAGTAGGCAACTTCACAGTCAGTCAAGTCACTATACCGGTTGTGTAGTCGTTTGCTTTCCCGCACCCAGACTACAGCTTGCGTTTACTGTGTCGTCCTACTTTTTTTTCTCGAAACTAGTTTGAGCTGGTCACATATGAACAATGTTTAAATCTGCCACTCGGTGACATCACTTACCCATGTGGCATCACTTTAATCCATATAATGGTAGGCAAAACAAGCCCATCTCATTTGCACAATATACAGTGGTCATGATTTCTGAGAACTGCCTGCTTCATTAATTATTGTTCATTCAAACGTGTTTTACAGTGTTTATCACTTACAACTTTTTGTGACAGACCTTTTATTATTGTTAAATACACCTGTTGTCATCAAGTAACACTGTAGACTCCCAAATAGATTAATATTGCATTTAATATAGCATTAAATGCAAATATTATGTCAGTGTTATGTTACAATCCAAAATTGTGAACCACATGTCTGTTATAAGAATGTAGAGAGGTATGGAGGAATCCTGCAGAATGGCAGGTGAATTGCAAGCCAAAGAGCTTTGTAGAATATACAGTTTCACTTTTCACTACTAGGACCAGTAATTCGCATCTTGATTCTCAGGTTTTCCATCCCAGTAATTAGCTTCACTTCATCCATCAATGATTCACTGCTTCCTTATTGCACAACAGACCCACAATGCACTCATATTTACCCATGGTCATAAACATCTCTCCTTTATCCCTCTCATCCATTCTTTCCCAATGAAGTCCACATGACTTCTGTTATGGGGTGAGGAACACCTGTTTAGTCAGGGAATGATTCAGTTGGATAAATAATACCTGTATAAATACTGTAAGGTTTTGTGTAAGGTTTGTCACTGGGTTATAGATCACCATTTGGCTCTTGTGTACACAGTAGCAACCTTTGTTTCTTTCATTAACAACATGTTTTGTTGAAGTAATGTATTTTCATAATGTGAATTCTTTAGTGCTTTTAAGTTGATTGGGGTGTCTGTATTGTTATATTAATATATCATTATACATTGAACAAAAATATAATTGCAACATATTGGTCACATGTTTCATGAGCTGAAATAAAATATTCCAGACATTTTCCATACACACAAAAAGCATTTTTCTCTCAAGTTTTGTGCAAAAATGTGTTTACATCCCTGTTAGTAAGCATTTCTCCTTTGTCAAGATAATCCATCCACCTGACAGTTGTGGCATATCAAGAAGCTGATTAAAGAGCATGATCATGACACAGGTGAACCTTGTGCTGGGGACAATAAAAGGCCACTCTAAAATGTGAAATTTTTTCACACAACACAATGCCACAGATGTCTAAAGTTTTGAGAGAGTGTGCAATTGACATGCTGACTGCAGGAATGTCCACCAAAGCTGTTTCCAGAGAATTTAATGTTAATTTCTCTACCATAAGCCGACTCCAACGTCATTTTACAGAATTTGGCAGTACATCCAACTGGCTTTACAACCGCGGACCACGTATATGGCATCGTGTGGGCGAGCGGTTTGCTGATGTCAACGTTGTGAACAGAGTGCCCCATGGTGGCGTTGGGGCTATGGTATGGGCAGGCATAAGGTACGGACAACGAACACAATTGCATTTTATCGATGGCAATTTGAATGCACAGAAATACTGTGATGAGATTCTGATGCCCATTTCTTTTAAAGGTATCTGTGACCAACATATGCATATCTGTATTCCCAGTCATGTGAAATCCGTAGATTAGGGTCTAATGAATTTATTTCAATTGACTGATTTCCTCAAATGAACTGTAACTCGGTAAAATCTTTGAAAGTGTTGCGTGTTGCATTTATATTTTTGTTCAGTATAATTATGTTACATGGTTTAATCTAGACAAACCTGTCAATACACTTTAATAAAAACACAGTGACCCTTCCGCTATATAGCTTGAAAAAACATTCACATGCTTCTTTATGTATATTAAACATGTATTAAAGCTGAAAAAAGCAGAAGCTTATATATTTCTCTCATGGCTTTGTTGACTGTTGCTTCTCAGGGCAGAGTTGAATGCCACCACCACCCAAGGTTGTCGGTTCCCTCCTCAAGCTGAAATGGATCAGTCAGGCGTGGGGGACATTGTTGGTCTGTTGCTATTGGAGCCTGCAGCTGGGAAGCTGGGAAAAGTCACATGAAGGCCAACTTGTGGAAGGAAGTCTTCCCCTGCTGAGTCCTATAAAGTTGTCCTCCCTTTTCCAACCCAAGAAAAAAACAGCCATCAAGTAAGGAACCAACCAATGAAATAATCTGTGAACGTTTTCTGATCCCAGGAATGTCCCCCCCCAATCAATCCCAGGGCTGATCTGAGATGAGGTACCCCCTGTCAATGTAATCTTATTCATTATGATAAAAAAGGGAGACGCCCAGATGCCCTTCATTCTATTTACCCCAGAAAAGAAGAAGAGCCAATTGAACAAAGATCCCCATGCTTCAACTAACTTAAACGTATCACGTAACCATAAATAGATTTTTTAAAGTAAAGTAGTGACAGTCAGAAACTGCAACAATCATTGTTTAAAGGTTTATAAAAATAAATAAAAACTGTAGTAAACAGGCTTGAAGAGCAAATATACAGCACAATACAACTATATTTAAAAATATATATATTTCATACAGGTCTGTCCATTACTCTGGTCGCTGTTCATAAGTACAAACATTATCTTTTGAAAGGGACTGCACATCGGACAGCAGCAGTAGTCATTCTGACATTCTCAATGGCTTGATGCTAATTCTCCAACCCTGAATTGCACAGCAACTCAAAACAAAGCATTGATAACACACCCAAATAAGTTTTATAACCCCGTAAAAGCAACACATAAATAAGCAGGTCTACAAAGATTTCTAAGTATTGATAAAAAGCGATCTATATTTCATAATAATCAAGCCATATTTCTGATAATACTTGTAAAAGTTGTAAAGTGATAAGTAAACTGATGTTGTAAGATACTTGACTGAGCAGTCAGGTTACACATACAATAGTTTAAATAAGTTTCATCGAGACAAAGGAATGCTAGACAAATGACTGAATAAGGCTAATAAAGTGAAGTGATTAATGCTCATGTTAACTGGCTAATATATGAAAGATACAGTACAGTAGTAAAGAATTGACTTAAGTAGTAATGGTGTGCAATAAAAAAATATTTGGGAATCTGTTCACTGTTATGTGTTGAATTCTTACTAGACTTTTGTAGCATGTAAAACACATTTTAATCTAGCAAGTGTATCTTGTTGGCTGAAGTAAAGGGAGAAATACATTATGAAGCATAGTTATTGCCAAACGTGGTGCTATTGCCATGTCTTTCAAAGCAAAGATTCCCTAAAGAACCAGAAATGTAAGAAGTATCAGAGTTAATAAATGACAATAAATGTAACAACAGAAACAGGTATGTAGAATTGAACACATGTATCATGGTCTATAACATATAATGTACTTGCTTTGGCGGATATAGGGTTAACTTTCTGACGTCCTCATAACACACTCTTAATGTCCTCGTAATACACACTTAAGTCCACTCATCATCCAAAACACAAGACGGAGGCAGTTTTACATGGGCTAAAGATGCTTCCAATAAGTAAATAAGGATGTTTCACCTATTTACAGAAAAACTATACATCACAAAGTACACATTTGTAAAAATACATCAGATTTACATTTTATGTAACAAACATGGACAGAGAACAGAAAAATATCTCAAAGCTGTGGTATATAAATATCTAAGGACTGTACAAGGTAATGCAGCGAGAGCAAATTCAAGCCACAGAGAAATATAAAGTATTTCTTTAGCAATAAGAGTGGTAGTGCAAATGCGGCTTTTAATAATGAGTTACTAGGATGCCTGTTTTTTTCATATTTGATCATAAGCAAAAATGCAGTTATTTCTAAATATAGTATAGCATTTCATAGATATAGTTGAAGTCGGAAGTTTACATACACCTTAGCCAAATACATTTAAACTCAGTTTTTCACAATTCCTGACATTTAATCCTAGTAAAGATTCCCTGTCTTAGGTCAGTTAGGATCACCACTTTATTTTAAGAATGTGAAATGTCAGAATAATAGTAGAGAGAAATGATTTTTTCAGCTTTTATTTCTTTCATCACATTCCCAGTGGGTCAGAAGTTTAAATACACTCAATTCCTGACTGATGTCTTGAGATGTTGCTTCAATATATCCACATAATTTTCCTTCCTCATGATGCCATCTATTTTGTGAAGTGCACCAGTCCCTCCTGCAGCAAAGCACCCCCACAGCATGATGCTGCCACCCCCTTTCTTCACGGTTGGGATGGTGTTCTTCGGCTTGCAAGCACCCCCTTTTTCCTCCAAACATAACAATGGTCATTATGGCCAAACAATTATATTTTTGTTTCATCAGACCGGAGGACGTTTCTCCAAAAAGTACTATCTTTGTCCCTATGTGCAGTTGCAAACCGTAGTCTGGCTTTTTATGGTGGTTTTGGAGCAGTGGCTTCTTCCTTGCTGAGCGGCCTTTCAGGTTATGTCAATATAGGACTCGTTTTACTGTGGATATAGATACTTTTGTACATGTTTCCTCCAGCATCTTCACAAGGTCCTTTGTTGTTGTTCTGGGATTGATTTGCACTTTTCGCACCAAAGTACGTTCATCCCTAGGAGACAGAACGCGTCTCCTTCCTGAGTGGTATGACGGCTGCGTGGTCCCATGCTGTTTATACGCGCGTACTATTGTTTGTACAGATGAACGTGGTACCTTCAGGCGTTTGGAAATTGCTCCCAAGGATGAACCATACTTGTGGAGGTCTACAATTTTTTTCTGAGGTCTTGGCTGATTTCTTTTGATTTTCCCATGATGTCAAGCAAAGAGGCACTGAGTTTGAAGGTAGTTCTTGAAATACATCCACAGGTACACCTCCAATTGACTCAAATGATGCCAATTAGCCTATCAGAAGCTTCTAAAGCCATGATATCATTTTCTGGAATTTTCCAAGCTGTTTAAAGGCACAGTCAACTTAGTGTATGTAAACTTCTGACCCACATGAATTGTGATACAGTGAATTATAAGGGAAATAATCTGTCTGTAAACAATTCTTGGAAAAAT